TGTCATAAAAACTCATAGCAGCATTATTCATAATAGTCAAAATAGTCATAATAGTCAAAAAGAAACAATCCAAGTGTTCATCCATTGATAGATTTTAAAATCTGGTATATCTATATAGTAGAATATTATTTAGCCAAAAAAAAAAAAAAATCATGTCCAGGCATGATAGCACATGCCTGTAATCCCAGCATTTTGGGAGGCCAAAGTAGGAGGATACCTTGAGGCCAGGAGTTTGAGACCAGCCTGAGCAACATAGCCAGACACTGTCTCTATAAAAACATAAAAACTAGGCAGGTGTAATGGCATTGATGCACCTGTAGTCCCAGCTCCTTGGCAGGCTGAGACAGGAGGGTTGTGCCCAAGAGTTCGAGGCTGCAATGGGCTATGATTATGTCATATGCAATGGCATGCTCTCCGCTCACTGCAACCTCTGCCTCCCAGGTTCAAGCGATTCTCCGGCCTCAGCCTCCAGAGTAGCTGGGACTAAAGGCACGCACCACCACATCTGGCTGATTTTTGTATTTTTAGTAGAGATGGGGTTTTGTCATGTTGGCCAGGCTGGTCTTGAACTCCTGACCTCGGGTGATCTGCCTGTCTCGGCCTCCTAAAGAGCTAGGATTACATGCCTGAACCACTGCACCGTCAGAAAATTTTTAGTTAAGTTTTGAAGCAGCAAAAGCCTAATCATTTAAGAAACCAAACATTCACTTTGTGATCACTCAGGCTAATGGACTTTTTTTTTTTTTTTAAGACAGTCTCACTTTGTTGCCCAGGCTGAAGTGCAGTGGCGTGATCTCTGCTCACTGCAACCACTGCCTGCCAGGTTTAAGTGGTTCTCCTGCCTCAGCCTCCCAAGTTGCTGGGATTACAGGTGCATGCCACTACGCCAAGCTAATTTTTGTATTTTTAGTAGAGACGGGGTTTCGACATGTTGGCCAGGCTGGACTCAAACCCTTGACCTCAGGTGATCCACCCGCCTTGGCCTCCCAAAGTGCTGGGATTACAGGCATGAGACCCCACGCCTGGCACTAATATAATTTTTTTTTTTTTTTTTTTGAAAGAGAGTCTTGCTCTGTTGCTCAGGCTGGAGTGCAATGGCGTGATACCGGCTCACAGCAACCTCCACCTCCTGGATTCAAGCGATTCTTCTGCCTCAGCCTCCCAAGTAGCTGGGGTTACAGGTGTGTGCCACCACGCCCAGCTAATTTTCAGTATTTTTAGTAGAGATGGGGCTTCACTGTGTTAGCTAGGATGGTCTTGATCTCCTGACTTCGTGATATGCCCACCTCGGCCTCTCAAAGTGCTGGGATTACAGGTGTGAGCCACCATGCCAGGCTGCTAATGGACATTTATAGTATATTTAGAAAAATGTTTTACCCCACTGGGCACAGTGGCTCATGCCTATAATCCCAGCATTTTGGAAGGCTGAGATGGAAGGATCACTTGAGACCAGGAGTTTGAGACCAGCCTGGGAAAGAGAGGACACCCCATCTTTGCAAAAAATTTAAAGATTAGCTGAACGTGGTAGCACATGCTTATAGTCCCAGCTACTTGAGAGGCTGAGGTGGGAGGATCCTTGAGCCTGAGATGTTGAGGCTGTAGTAAGCCTTGACTGTGCCAGTGCTCTCCAGCCTGGGTGACATAGCAAGACTTGTCTCTTAAAAACAAAAAAGAAAAAAAAAAGTTTTACAACTGAAATACACCTTTTTATTGGACTTAGGGTGGTTCAGTGTGTACAGCATTTCACCTAAGTCAAATGATAACTTGATGAGGCTCAACCGCCCCATGTCAGAGCTGGCATAATCCAACTACCTCACTTATGGGACAGAGCAATTATGAGCAGAGACATTGAGTTTTCTCTAGAGCAGTGGTTGGTTCTTCATGGGGGTGGTACTGCCCTCTAGGGGGCCTTATGGTAATCTGTGGAAATTTTTGATTGTTAAAATCATGGAACTGTGGGGAAAAATCACGTAACTGTCATTTGTATGATGCAAGAGATGAGTATCCCTTAGTCCTGGGGACAGTCACATAATACAAAGAATTTTCCCATGTCCCACATGACTTTTGAATATCTCACCAAATTGTTTTGTTTTGAGGAGTCTTGCTCTGTTGCCCAGGCTGGACCGCAGTGGAGCGATCTCCGCTCACTGTAACCTCTGCTTCCTGGGTTTAAGCAATTGTCCTGCCTCAGCCTCCTGAGTAGCTGAGACTACAGGTATGCGCCACTATGCCTGGCTAATTTTTGTATTTTTAGTAGAGATGAGGTTTCACCATGTTGGCCAGGCTGGTCTCAAACTCCTGACTTCAAGAGATCTGACTGCCTCGGCCTCCCAAAGTGCTGGGATTACAGGTGTGTACCACTGTGCCCAGCTGTTACATTCCTTCTTAAGAAAATATTCTTGGCCGGGCGCGATGGCTCACACCCCATCTTTACTAAAATACAAAAATTAGCCAGGCGTGGTGGCACATGCCTGTAATCCCAGCTACTGAAGAGGCTGAGGCAGAAGAATTGCTTGAGGTAGGGAGGTGGAGATTGCAGTTAGCCAAGATCACACCACTGGACTCCAGGCTGGGCAACAGAGTGACACTCCAGTCTCCAAAAAAAAAAGTTCTTGTATATAGACTACACTAACTGTGAATTTCATTTTGGGATTACAAAAGAGAGCACTGGATCTGATATAATTCAGAATCATTGCTCTAATAGTGAACCATGGGCAGAAAATCGTGGCAGAGGATCTATGACAGCAGGAATCACGGTTGAAGAGGGTTTAACCTGGGAGTCAGACTGATCTGAGTTCAAGTATAGGCATAATATTTCCCTACTTTGGTTACTTTGGAAAGGCTACTTAACTTTTCCAGGCTTCCTCTTCTTCAATTGTAAAAATGGGTTTAGGAGTATCTACCTCTGTGCTAATGTAAGGATAAAATAAGAAAAATTTATAGGTGCCAAAAAATGCTAAATGTCTGAGCTTTCCCCACTTTGCATTTTTCTACAGCCCTTCTTTCTGTGGTAAATGACTTTTTTTTTTTTTTTTTTTTTTTGAGACGGAGTCTCGCTCTGCTGCCCGGCTGGAGTGCAGTGGTGCGATTTCAGCTCACTGCAACCTCCACCTCCCGGGTTCAAGCAATTCTCCTGCCTCAGCCTCCCGAGTAGCTAGGACTACAGGGGTGCACCACCATGTCCAGCTAATTTTTTTTTTTTTTGGACAGATGGGATTTCACCATGTTGGCCAGGATGGTCTCAATCTCTTGACCTCATGATCCACCTGACTCAGCCTCCCAAAGTGCTGGGATTACAAGTGTGAGCTACCAGGCCCAGCCAGTAAGTTGACTTCTTAAGGTTCACTCCAGGGTGGGTGTTGGCTCTGGTCAGTTCTAAAAACTAATGCTACAGAAAGATAAAGTGATTGCTGTGGTATAGTGGAAAAAGCCCAAGACCAGAAGGCTTGGTGTGAAGTCCTGAATGTAACCATGTGTGACCATGGAACTTGTTAAAGCCTCAATATCTATAAAATGAGACAATATGTACCTCATAGAGTTGCTTTGAGTCTTAAATAAGTTAACGAATATAAGTGCTTCGCATAGTAATGATATGTGAGTATCATTACTGATATAGAGTAATGATATAGAGTATCATTGATATAGAGTAAATGGTTATTATTCTTCTTGGCATAATTGGGAAGAACTGAAAATGTTACAGCAGTGCTTCCTAAACTTCAGTCACTCTCATGCCATGTTAGAATTTTTGTCTAGCACTTGCATCATTACATATTTAATACTTTTTATATATCAACTTTTTCCCCATCTATATAATTTTCAAGGAATCTTTAAATTACCAGCAAATGGAAATCCAGTACTGTCACAAAAAAGAAACTTAAAGTAAGTACAGTAGAAACAAAACAACATTAAATTTTAACTAGATACTGTTACCTGTGGGAAAGTTCTTAGCCTGAGGCTTACTCTATTAAAACGAGAAATTAGTAAGTGAGAAGGAGGTGCTAAAGATATAGTAGCACTTACCTGAGATGGTTTCTGAAAGCCATCAGAATTGACGGAAAATTGCTTGTTTTTCTAAGAGATAAGGTCTCGTTATGTTGCCCAGGCTGGTCTTCAACAACCCTCCTGCCTCGGCATCTCAAGCAGCTGGGAGAAAACTATTATTTTAATATGAAGGGGTACATGTCTAGATACCCACCGATAATCATCTCAAATTCCTGTCTCTGTATATAAATATTGCGATGAGGGGATGGGCGCAGGGTTCACGCCTGTAATCCCAGCTACTTGGCAGGCTGAGGCAGGAGAATCGCTTGAACCTGGGAGGCGGAGGTTGCAGTGAGCTGACATCGCGCCACTGCACTCTAGCCTGGGCAACAAGAGCGAAACTCCGTCTCAAAAATAAAATAAATAAATAAATTAATTAATTAATACTGCAATGAAGTATGTGAGGAATTTGCCTCCACTCTAGGAAGGGAAATGATAATTACAATTCCTTACATCTCTAACGGCAGTGTTACAGATTGCAAAGCGCTTTGGTACTTAGCATCTCAGCCGACTATTGGAACAGCAATTTGGTAGAATGCAGATTATCACACTCACCTGACTGTATGTTACAACTGCTAAAAGCTCTAACGCACCTGGCACTCTTCCCGACGAAACGGTAGGATGGGATAGTTCATAGGTAAACCCACCAAGGGTTGGCGACTAACCTAAAGGATTAACAGCACCGTTTTTGTTTTTGTTTTTGTAACACTCAATACGTCCTAGATCCTGTACTAAGGGCTTTACAGACATCATCTAATTTGATTCCCACCTGTCTATGAGGCAGGTACTATTATCATCCCCATTTCACAGAAGACAAAAGTGAAACACAGAGGTAACGGGTAAGGTCACCCTGCCAGTGGGGGGCGAGACATGAACCTAGACAAATTGACAGAACTCCTGCACTTTCTTGCCCAAGGTCACGGCGGTGTGAGGTAGGCAGGAGAAGGGAGGGCGCTGACCTGTCATATACTTGTTTCTGGGTGAGCTTCTTGTCACTCTGCAGTAGGATGGACACGTAGTGGCGGATCATGCCTACGAAGAAAGTGATAACGATGGGTAGGACCATCCAAAGGCAGGTGTTGGAGTCGAACAACAGTTCTGGCCCTGCCATCTTACTGAAAGCTGCCTCCCAGCCGATGATGGGCGAGCGTCTCTTCACCGGGGCGCAGGTGCTTCTCTTTGACTTCGCCTCCGGGCCTTCTCAAGCCCCTATTCCCGGTTAGCCCAAAACTGGGCTGCAGCTGTGAGCCCAGCCTACTGCCTTCAGGGGGCTGCCTGGCATTCCACTTCCGGCGCGGAAGTTGACGTCACGTCATGGCGCGCCTCGGTGGCGTCAGAGAGGCGTCGGGCATGGCGGGAAAGTCGAAAACGACGGGCGGTGACGGCTTCTCGGTGAGTTAGTGGAGCAGTGGTCGTAGTCTCTTGAGGCCCCGCTCCCCTGCGGCCTAATCTCTAAGTCCGAGCCGCGGTTGGAGTTCTTCTCTGGGGCTCGCGCCCCGAACCTCGGCTTCCTCATCTGCGCTGAGATGGGATAATCCCCACAGGTACCTTTCTGCGTCGTTAAAATGAGGAAACGAGAAAGGCTTTTACCCTCACCCCCTTCCCGATGAACTAGTCCAGACAGTCGGCCTCATCTCACGTCTGTTGGACTTTTCTGGAAGCCAGATGGTATTGCACGTGTTAAAGGCGGGTGCCTGGAAGCCGGACGTCCTGACTTGCCTTAGTTTTTCCATCTGCAAGATGGCTGATAATGGTTATCTGTATTAACCGAAGCGGCGACAAATAAAAAGCTTAGCACAGCGCCCGATACCTCGTAAATGTTAACCATTATTATAAGTCATTATTGTCATCAAGAGTAAGTATAGGTGGTGAAGAGCACAGGTGCTGCAGCCAGACTGCCCAAGTTAGAATCCCAGTTCCGCCGGGATGATGAGAAGAATAATGGTACCCACCTCAAAAAGTTTCGTGGGAAATTAATGAATTATTAAATGTAAAGTACTTGAAACAGTTCTTATTAACTTGTAGCATTTCCCTTGCCCTGCCAGCTTTTCTCACTCTGAATATTCTCAGAAATTTTCTTTATGCCGGTAACTATGCTGGGCATTAGGGGCATTGAGTAGGTGAGACTGGGTTCCTGCTCTCAAAGAGCTCCAGTCTAGTGTGAGGTAAGGTCCCCTTAGATATACCCTGTGGAGCAGGGAAGCTGCAGTAGCAAACTCCCTTAGGGATAGGAGGAACGCTTTTCAAGGAAGATGACATTTGATTGAATGTTTAGGTCTGAGTAGAAATTTCCAGGCAAATAAGAGCACTTCAGATGAAAAGAACACCTTTGTGCAAAGGCACTGAGACCACGAAGGTTCTGATTTACAAGATTAAAAGGTCATGTGATTCAGGCACTCCCCTACCTCTGCTGGCTCATTTCTAACTCCACATCTCCTAGTTTCAGTTCGAGTATTCAGTATGAGACTCCTCTTCTCCTACGCCTTCTACTGGCTAGCTCCTGTTTCAGTCCTCAAGTCCCTGCCTAAAAATCACTTCGTCGGTCGGTTTGGCTCACGCCTGTAATCCCAGCACTTTGGGAGGCTGAGGTGGGCGGATTACGAGGTCATGAGATCAAGACTATCCTGGGTAACACGGTGAAACCCCATCTCTAATAAAAATACAAAAAATTAGCCGGGTGTGGTGGCGGGCGCCTGTAGTCCCAGCTAGTTGGGAAGCTGAGGCAGGAGAATGGCGTGAACCCGGGAGGTGGAGCTTGCAGTGAGCCGAGATTGCACCACCGCACTCCAGCCTGAGCGACAGAGTGAGACTCCATCTCCAAAAAAAAAAAAAAAAAAAAAATCACTTCTTCAGACCGGGTGACTCACATCTGTAATCCCAGCACTTTGGGAGGCCGAGGTGGGTGGATCACTTGAGGTCAGAAGTTTGAGACCAGCCTAGCCGACATGGTGAAACCCTGTCTCGACTAAAAAAAAAAAAAGAAAAAAAAAAAGAAAAAAAATTCGAGGAGATTGTCCCTAAGAAATTGTCCTTGCTTCTTTTTACCACCCCTACTAGCAACTAGATTAAATTTCCTAGTAAGCCCTCATAGAACCTGTACTTTTATAGCACTTACAAAACTGTAGTTCAGTACATTAAGGCTATTTGTTACTACACTGTAAACTCCCTGAGGACAGGAATCATGTCTGTCTAGTTCACAGTTGTAACCCCAGCACCTAGCACAGTCCCTAACCTATTGTATTGAAATAATGAGTTAAAGGACAGGTCCACTGGGGGATAGATAATGGAGGGTCTTGAATCTCAGATGGAGAGCGATGGGTTTTATCCTTCAGCAACAGCAAAGTAGTCTGCCTAAAGAGGCAACTAAGACTTGAAAGGAAGGTAGTATTGGCTAGATGTGAGAGTTGAAATTTGCTTAGCACCTAAATTTAGATAACATTAATATGGAGATGTGAGCCCCACTGATTTTGGATATAACAGTTTTCTTTGAACAATAGCTTTAACTTCTCAGAATTTATCTTCTAGAGGGTAACTTCTGTTCCCCGATTTTGCTCTAGGAAGTAATTTAAATGCACAAGACATCGGTCAAAATGGTTTCCAAAAGAAGACTGTCAAAATCTGAGGATAAAGAGAGCCTGATCGAAGATGCCTCCAGTAAGTATCTAGTCATTTGTTGCTTTATTTCCTGTAGCAATGTATGAGGCATGTGAGAGATATAAAGTTCCTGCTTTTCAAGTGCTGAGAATCTTCAAAGTGTAATGGATAGAGCGCACAGAATTAAGGGAGAAATATCAGATTTGGGATTGAATTTTTGCCTCGAATTCTGCATATAACTTTGAGTATGCCCACACCCTCTGGGCCTCAGTTTCCACATCCATAAGAGGAATTAGTGTTACAGACTTTTCTGCTATACATCATTTAGGTATTGAGACACAAAGATGTAATAGTCTCTACTCTTAAAAAACTTTATGTTCTTTCTTCCTCTCTTGGAAAAAAAATATTATGATCTAGTAACATGCTATGTTAGTGATGTGAAAGGAAAGATATATCAAAGCAAGCACCCCAGAGGCAAAGAAACAGCGCAGACTCTGCCCATATGAGAAATGGTTGACAAAGATCCCAAGACTTCCGGATATAAGGAGTTCTGGCTGGGTGCTATCACTCACATCTGTAATCCAAGCACTTTGAGGGGCTAAGGTGAGAGGATCACTTAAAGCTAGGAGTTCAAGACCAGCATGGGTAACAGCAAGACTCTATCTCTACAAAAAATTTTTTAAATTAGCTGGGCGTGGTGTTGTGCGCCTGTGGTCCTAGCTACTGAGGAGGCTGAAGTGGGAGGATCACTTGAACTCAGAAAGTCGAGGGTGCAGTGAGTCAATAATAGCACCACTGCACTCCAGCCTAGGCGACAGAGAGAGAGAGACCGTGTCTCAAAAAGGGAGGGGGGGGACAGGGAGGTTGAGAGTTCATTTATTGCACTCATTTACTCTATTAAAGCAGTTCCAACTTGATTTATGTTGGTTTGTTTTTATTTTACTAGGTTTTTAGGGAACAGGTGGTGTTTGGTTACATAAATAAGTTTTTTAGTGGCTATTTCTGAAATTTTGTTGCGCCTATCACCTGAAGAGTGTATGGTGTCCCCAATGTGTAGTTTTTCAATCCCTAACCCCGCTTCCACCCTTTATCTCGAGTCTCCAAAGTCCATTATATCATTCTTGTTGTTGTTGTTGTTTGAGACGGAGTCTCACTCTGTCGCCCAGGCTGGAGTGCAGTGGCACAATCTCGGCTCACTGCAAACTCCACCTCCTAGGTTCAAGTGATTCTCCAGCCTCGGTCTCCCAGTAGCTGGGATTACAGGCGCCAGCCACCACGCCCGGCCGATTTTTTTGTATCTTTAGTAGAGACGGGGTTTCACTATGTTGGCCAGGGGGTGTCTGGAACTCCTGACCTCAAGTGATCTGTCTACCTCGGCCACCCAAAGTGCTCGGATTACAGGCTTGAGCCACCACGCCTGGCCCATTATATAATTTTTTTTTTTTTTTTTTTTTTTTGAGATGGAGTTTGGCTCTTGTTGCCCAGTCTGGAATGCAGTGGCACAATCTTGGTTCACTGCAACCTCTGCCTCCCGGGTTCAAGCGATTCTCCTGCCTCAACCTCCCAAGTAGCTGGGATTACATGTACATGCCACCATGCCTGGCTAAATTTTTGTATTTTTAGTAGAGAAGGGGTTTCACCATGTTAGTCAGGCTGGTCTCAAACGCCTGACCTCCGGTAATCCACCCACCTCAGCCTCCCAAAGTGCTGGCATTTTAGGCGTGAGCCACCGTACCTGGCCTCATTATGTCATTCTTAATGCTTTTGCATTCTCATAGCTTAGCTTCTACTAACTTGTGGATTGAAGAGTTATTTCTTACTGGGTTATTGGAATTTAAGTCTGATTCTTGGTCAATTCAACCGAAATAGATGAAAGTGCTTGCTGAACAGCAATTATAATGATAAAAATTGCAAGTCCAAAACCATGTTAGGAATAGGCTTGATTTAGAAATGGAAACTGTGGGCCAGGCACGGTGGCTCACGCCTGTAATCCTAGCACTTTGGAAGGCCAAGGCGGGCGGATCACCTGAGGTCAGGAGTTCGAGACCAGCCTGGCCAACATAGTGAAACCCCATCTCTACTAAAAATACAAACATTAGCTGGGTGTGGGATCACGCACCTGTAATCTCAGGTACTTGGGAGGCTGAGACAGGAGATTGCTTGAACCCAGGAGGTGGAGGTTGCAGTGAGCTGAGATCATGCCACTGCACTTTAGCCGGGGCAGCAGAGCAAGACTCTTATCTCAAAAAAAAAAAAAAAAAGCATGTTGTGAAGCTCCAATGGTTGATTAGTAATGGGATTATAGAATTAGAATATAGAGAAATTGGTAGAAAATTTGAAACTGAAGAGGAATAATATAGGAAATTACTGAAAGTAAATGTTTTACTTTGGAAATACTGTTTTCCAATAGAGAAGAGACTTCTGAATTAAGTTTATTAGAAGGGATTTGGGTTCTCTTGGTCAGTAATGAACAAACTGAATCTTTCATTCTGGTTATGTTTTACATTTCATTCAGGAAGGTAGTGGTCTTTCATTCTGATTAAGGCTTTATTAGAAAGAGGGAGAGGAGGCCGGGCGTGGTGACTCACACCTGTAATCCCAGCACTTTGGGAGGCCGAGGCGGGCAGATCACGAGGTCAGGAGATCGAGACCATCCTGGCCAACA